GCCAAGGTTCCACCTCCAGGGACACCACAACTCTGTCATCACCTATAAGAGGAGGAAGGTGAACAGGAACTCTGGTTGCACATTAGAGACACTGGGAAGCTTAAGACAACACAGTTGCCTGAGTCCAATGCCAGACCAAGTAAGTGAGACACTGGGGCTGGGGCTCAGCACCCCTAGGGGTGCTAATGGGCCCCCAGCCCACATACTTCCTAAACAAGTCCCTGTCCCCTTCTGCTCTCAACCACAAGGGATGTGCAAAAATCTAAGACCAGATCTCCCCTGAGTGGTGCCACAGCAGGTACAGAGAGATCCAGTTCTCCCTTTTCTCTCTCTTTTTAACTTTTTATTATTGAAAATGCAAAAAATTTACAAAAGGGCTTAGATTAGTATAATTAACCCTCCCCCATCTCACACACACGCACACACACACTCATCACTCAGTTTGAACAATTATCGATATTTGCCCATCTGGCTTTATCTCTTCCGCCTCCTACCACCATCTTTTTTGGAGGGAGGGGAAAGCTGGATTATTTAAAAGCAAATCCCAAATAGCATATCATTTAACTGGTGAATAATTCAATGTGTATCACTCATAGAATGATCTGGAACTTTCTAAATTATTTTTTGGTCATAGCTACAATGTCATTATCCATCTGACATATTAACAACGGTTGCTTTATATTATCGAATACCCTGTTTTGGGGGGCGGGTTAAAAAATAACTTTTTACAGTGAGTTTGTTTGAATCTGAATTCAAACAGGGTCTATACATTGCATTTGGTTGATATGTCTCTTGAGTTTCTTTTAATCTCTCGTTGTCTCCCACTTTCTTTTTTCTTTCTGCCACTGATTTGTTGAAGAAACTGGGTGAGTTGTTCTTAGATCCTTTGTCTTCTGCTTTGAGAAGTTGGCCTGGTGAGACCAGCTGTGCTCGTGGGAGAGCTAAGGGATTCCTACTTCTGGGAAACTTATCCATATACATCTATTAACAACTATGAAAATGCATATTGTCGACACAGAAACTTCCAGGAATCGATCAATGGAGATAGTCTGATATTTAAAAAAGGCTTTGTTTACAAAAGTATTGTCTGTAATAGAGAAAAATTTGGCATGATTTAATTAGCCAACAATAGGGGGTTAACTGAAGTTTATTCAAATAATGGGACATTACACAGCTATTAAAATTATGTTTACTAGAAGTAATATATTTAGTGATGGGTGGAAATGCTACCATATAATGTTAAGTGAAAGAAGCTGGTTATAAACTTGAGCAGTATATTGTGCGATCTTAACTATTCAAAAATATGCACATGTCAAAACACTAGAAGGAAATACCCTCTGTACATGTTAGCAGTTGTTGTCTCAGAGTGGTGGACCCATGGGAGGTTGTTAGGTTCTTAATATATTTTGGTGTCTTCCAAAAAAGCTCTAAGGGAAGAAGAGAAAGAGAGAGGGATGGAGAGAGGGAGAGAGAGAGAAAGAGAAAGGGAGAAAGAAGAGCAGAGCACACAGTATCTCCTCCTGGCACATAATTGATGAAGACAGGTCACTGCCAAGTGCCTGTGTGGGGAACCTGCTGTGAACCGAAACAGATGCTCCAGTTCCTGAGCAGATAGTTTGGAAGCACGATAAGGATGGTCAAGAGGGCACCCACTGTGGAATATCGTTAGGATCATTTTGAATCTGAGTCACCCAAGGCAGTGTAGCTTGCTGGGTTAGAAGCGGCATCCAAGCCTGGCTCTGCACATGTCTGGGACCATTTCTTCACCTCTGGCTGTCTCAGTACACTCATGCATAAAATGGGGATCATGATCATAGTACCTGTCTCTTGACTTGTTATGAAGATTAAATGAATTAATACGTGGAAAATGTTACCTAGCACATAGCACCTGCTCAATAAATTCACTATATAGAATTATTTTGCAGATGAGTCCCAGAGAAAGTTAAGGATTTGCTTAAGGTCACACAGCTCCCAGGGGTCAAGTAGCGGTGAGGGTCTTGATATCTGGACTTTTGGCCTTTTTTTTGCACTGTCCACAACCATCATTTTAGATATGAGCTAGAAGTTGGTTAGCAAAGCCCATAGTGGTTGAAATGAAGTCATTTCATTTCTAAGCACTGACTATATATTATAATCTTTTAGAGAACATATGGAGAACATTGCCCTTGAAATGAAGTAATATATTTAAAATCTGTGTTGTGGAACACTGGTAAAAGATAAGAATGATTGTCAGGTCTGGGTGACTCCGAATGCCGTGGTCTTCCTGCTAGTCATTTAGCAACTAGGCAGTGAGAGCCTGTTATCTGCTGGGTGCAGGACGCTGCAGTGACTAGACCGCCCCCTCTCACGGGGCTTGCTGACTCCAGTCCCGGGCAAGCCCCAGCTCACTCCCAGCTCACTAACCAGGACCGGGGAATGTCATTAGAGCTCAGCAGCTCCATGTCCCAAAAACCCAGTTTTAACTAAATCTTCCTGTTTTAGGCTCAAGGAGTGCATGTGGGAATGAAAGGACAGGCTGGGCCCAAAGGAGAAAAGGTTCATACTGTGCCCATTCTGGAGAACACATTAGCTCCTGATCAAGTGTCCTGGGCATGTTATTTGGGGTTGATTTTGTGAATTCTGATCAAGGTGATAGTAGAAGCAGCAAGAGGACTGGGCCCAAAGTAGATCCAACTGAGAGTCTGAGAATCATGAAAACAGCACAGGGGCAGTTCCGGCTGAGTCTCTTCTTACCAGCTGGTGACCAGGTCCTTCCTTGACTTCCGTGGGCCTTGGGTTCCCCATCTGTAGTCAAAGGGTTCTTCTGATTCTGATGCTCTGTGTCTAAGCTCTGGACTCCGCTCCAGATTTTCTTCCTGGGAAAGTGTTGGGCAGTCAAGAGCTTCCAAGGACACAGACCTACATTTGCCTGTTAGTAGCTGTAGTATCTCAGGGAAGTTCCCAACCACTTCTTTGCTCCAGTTTCTTCATCTGTAAGATGGGGGTGGAGATGGTCGCCCTGTGGGGTGGGATGAAATGAGGTGATGCATATGGGAATGCCTTGTCTGGTTGTAGTCACCACGAAAGATAACGAATTCCTGTTACCGAAGCACCTGCTGATGTTAAACTATTCCCAAGGGGATGTATCTACAGCAACCCCGGTGCATGGTCCCAGAAGATCCTGCCCTAGGGCCTCTGGAGTCTGTCTACCAGGACATTGGAAGGGACAGCTGGGGCTGGGGAGGTGGGGATCCTCACTGCTGTCTGCCCCTGGCCACCTCAGTGGACTTCGGGTGTCAGCAGGGCTCTGGGGAGCAGCAGGGGCTCTGAGAGGGGGACAATCACAGCATATGTATTTTGGGATTTCACCGTTGACATCTCCACTCTCCTTTTAGTGGCTCAGCCATCCTGTCACCTTATTTGCCAGGGCAACCATTTCTCTGGACCCTTGTTGACAGCCAAAACCTCCCGGATGCCACTCTTTCTCATTTGTTTCTCTCCTTTCCAAGTGGGGGCTTCTGTCATTCTAAAAGCATTTCCTGAGCACCAGCCCTGTGCTGGATCCTGGGTCCTGGAGGTGATTTAGGCACTGTGCCTGCCCTCGAGGGCCCAGGGTCCTGGGGAGGCAGACACCGTAAAGACTACAGGAGCGGTGGGCAAGACAGGCTTCAGAGGCAGGCTGGGCTGGGCCTGGATACCGGTGCTCCGGCAGGTCACAGACCAGGGATGGGGAAAGCCTGAGGGGCCAGTGGGGGTGTGCAGAACTAGTCCACGCTGTTCAGCTCTTCCCAGCACATCCATCCACCCCACCAGTGTTGTGAGGAAACAAAGGGCTCCTGTGCCCTGAGGAGGACAAGGTGCCTCCTTGGGCTGTCTCTGTAAAGGACAATGCCTTTCTTCACTCCTGCGTAATTCTCATGTTAAGGATGAGCACAATTTCTACAGAAAGGAAAGGGGATGTAGGAAGAGGGGGTGCCCAGCGCTTCACTAACCATTCTGTTCTTTTTAGGGTGATGTGGGGGAGGGGTTTCCTGCCCCCGCTGGACCTTCTGAGCCTGCCAGACCCACGGTGAGATTCCCCCCAGGCTTGTCACACACACACACAGTGTGCAGGGACCAGGGATAAAGCAGAAACAGCCAGAGGCTGAGGATTCTTTTTGTCAGCCCCAAAGTAGCTTTCTGTCAGATCTCAGGGCTCTCTGCCTCTGCTAGAACCCTACAGTGTGCTCAGGAGCAGAGTTACTTATATCCAGTTTATATCCTGCCCCTTGAGTAGCCCAGAGGCTCCTCAAACTCAACATGTCCCAAACTGGACTCTTCACCTATATTAGTTTGTTTCTGTTGCTTATAACAAAATATCTGGAACTGGGTAATTTGTAAGAAAATGAAATGAATTGCTTACAGTTTTGGAAACTGGGAAATCCAAAGTCCAGGGAACACATCTGGTGAGGTTCTTCTTTAGTGGTGGCTTTACAGCAATGCAGGGCTCTCACATGGCAGAAAATGGCGAAGCAGACAGAGACCCTCACATACTCTCTTTTTAAAGCCCTCAGAACCATGTCCAGGACCACCATGAAGCCATCAACTTAATCACCTCTTCAAAGCCCCACCTTTCAATTACCGTAATAAGATTTACCACCCTCAACAGTTATAGTGGGAATGAAGCTTTTAGTGTATGGACTTTGGGGGACACAATTCAATCAACCCATAGTACCACCTGTGCCCAGAGCTGCTCCTCCTCCTGGGCTCCCCATCTCCCTGGTCACTAAGGGAGAAACCAGGAAGCGTCCTCAAGTGTTCCTCTCCCTCCTGCACCCCATCCAGTGCATCCCCAAGTCCTCCGAGTGAGCTGTGCAGTGCTGCCTCCTCCCTCAGACTGTGGCAGCAGCTCCTAATTGGTCTCCCCGCCTCTGTTATCACCACCTCTTTTCCCACCCACATATACCTGACACCGTGACCTTCCTAAACCCAGCTCTAACCCTGAGACTCAGCTCCTTCTCAGAGCCTCTCAACAGATGCTCAATACACTTACGTTCAGTGGTTGAATTAGGTCTTGCCTGGTTCCTGTTTCAGGAATTAAGTACCAGAAGGGTATTTTAAAAACTCCCTTTGGTTCTTTGGAAGAATTTGATGACATTTAACTAGTATGCACCGAGTGACTTCTCAGTGCCAGATCTTGAACTCTAGACTCTGTGCTGAACTCTGGACACCCAGTGTGTCTCAGGATTGGGCACACTCTGGAGCAGCCCTAGTCTAGAGGGACCGACAGACACACGCATAACTAAGCTTCAAGCCGGGTGGTCCTAACACCCAATTGAGACTTTGATAAGCCAGTAGGAGTAGAGAAGAGGGAGAGATGAATTCTGCCTGAAAATGGGGTAGGAAGAGCTTCACAAAGGAGGTGACCGTGGAACAGGACCTTGAAGGATGAGTAGGGATTTGGAAGGCAGGAAGGAAAGGCAGGACTGGTCTCATGCAGGCTGCACAGCTGGGAGGCAGAGAGCATGGCCGGTAGCTGTAGAATGGAGTAGAGAAATCGCCAGAAGGAAAGTTGGGAGCAGAAGTTGTAGGGCTGCAGAAGCTGGGAAAACTTTCAGTGATATGGCTGTCCTTGGAGACTGGCAGCTGAATCCAAGTGTGGGAATTTCTTCTCTCTCCAGGTGGAAGTGGAGGCTGAGGGCTCCGGCCTGGGCTGGGGCTCAGACATCAGCTCTGGCTCCGGGCACCTGGCGGGCAGTGAGGAGCTGTTAAGAGTGAGTGTGAAGCATGACACCACGTGGTGTCTGGGACTGACTTCAAAATAATCCAGGAAGGAGGGACATGGGGGTGGGGAGATTGTAGATGAAGCCAGGTTAGCCACTGTTGAGGATTATTGGAGGTGAGTTCATGGGGGTTCATTATACTTTTCCCCTTACTTTTATGTGTTTGAAATTTTCCATTTTGATCAGTTTCCTTTTGTTTTAAGTGAGTATGAGCCTAAATTTGTATCCAGGACTCCCCTTCTCCACTTTCCTCCTTTCCTTAGCAGGCTTCCCAAGCAAGTTGTTCCAGAGAAAGCGTGCCCACTGACCCCCACCTCTACAAGGTGGCTTTTGATCCCCCCTTCACCCCTTATTCATTAGAGAGACCTACTGGCCTCTTCCTTGGGTAGCATTTTGCACTTTGGCTTCTAGAACCTTCTTGAAATTCTCCCTACTGTTAGGCAACCCCCTCTCTGCCTCCCCAGACTGCTCTTTCTCCCTCTTTGGCACCTCTTGGTCCCCCGGCCTCCTGCCCAAGGCTGGGTCTCCACGGGTCCCTCTCTAAATTGTCCCCTGCAGGGCTCCTCCCTTCTCCAGTTGCAGCTGGTGCCTCTGTCCCTGGCCCCCAACCTCCTCTCCTCCCCTTCCCCTGAGCACCTGTGCTGAATACCCAGTTAGAGGCTCCACTTGGCTGCCCCTCTGCCCACTGATCAGAGCCAGGGCAGGAAGGCTGCCCTCAGTGGTTGGGCAGAGTGGGAGCCAAATGGGTCTTCCATGCCGGTGGAATCAGCCAACCCGGCAAGAGGCTAAAGAGACTAGTACATTTCAGGAAGAGTTTTAACAACACAGCTAAAGAGGCAGTTTTCGACCTGCCTCACAGTTAATCAGAAAACTAAATTAGCTAGAGCACCTCTGAGAATTCCAACTAATTGGATCTTTTATTGTGTACACCCATTTGGGAGAAAACATGATATAATGGGCTCAGAAAGACCTAGATTCAAATTTCAGCTTTTCTATTACTAATGAGCTGCATGTGTGAGCCCTTGAATCACATGGTCTCACTGAGCCTCAATTTTCCCATCTGCTAAGTGGGAACACCAGTTCATACTTGTAGTGTTGTTATAAGAAATGGAGAGAATGTATGGAACACATGCTCGGTATATATTTACCCTCCCTCTTTAGTTCTAACAGTGTCTGTTTCTTAGGGTCCCCCAGGTCCCCCAGGCCCACCTGGCTTGCCTGGGATTCCAGGAAAGCCAGGAACTGATGTTTTCATGGGACCCCCTGGATCTCCTGGAGAGGATGGAGCTGCTGGTGAACCTGGGCCCCCGGTGAGCAGCTGAAGTCCTCTCTCCCTCTCTGTGGCCATGGGGCTTCCTTTAGCCAGGGAGGGGTGTGCAGATTGCAGACCCCAGCACTATCTAAGGTTCATGATGGAAAGGGAGCAGCTAGCTAACATTTGTAAATAAAAAACAAAAATCCGGGCCGGCCCGGTGGCGCACTGGATAGTGCGCCGCTTGGGAAGCGCGGCGGCGCTCCCGCCCAAGGGTTCGGATCCCACATACAGACCGGTTCCCGCTCACTGGCTGAGCGAGGCGCGGGAGCAACACCGAGGGTTGCGATCCCGTTGCCGGTCCCGGTCCGGTACGGGCACGACACTGAGGGTTGCAATCCGTTGCCGGACACGGAAAAAGACAAAAAAAAAAAAATCCACCTCATCTGAGTCACCGCTGAGGCTCTTAAGAAGCAGCAGCCAGGAAAAACATCGTTTTACACATTGTTCTGCTGCTTTATCGCAGTCAGTGTCAAAAACGCACATTCATGTAGAATCTTGGAATCATAGGACATAGAGCTGGGCCTGGAGTGGGAGGCCCTTGGAAACCATCTAGTCCAACCCTGCCCCTGATTCCCTCACAGAGGAGGAAACGTGACCCAAGGGTGAAGGACACTCGTCCATAGGGGCATAGCCAGCAGTGGCCCAGCTGGGGCCAGGGACTGGCAGTCCTTCTTTGGGCCTGGCACAAGGCTCTGGGCCCCAGACTTACCTGCCTCCCAACCCTCCTTTTCTAGGAAGGGTCTGTATGTGATTCTTAGCAGAGATGTTGTGGGCTGATTGTCATTAATGCTCCCCAGGGCCCTGAAGGACAGCCTGGACTTGATGGAGCCTCCGGTCTTCCCGGGATGAAAGGGGAGAAGGTACGTGGGACGTGGGAGGGTTCCAACACATGGGAGCCACCAGGCAGCACTTCTCTCTCGGACCCCCAAGCCTGACCTTGGCTCTTATATGAATGACCCCCTGTAATCCCCCACTGGTCATCTTTGCTGGATGTCCCCAGCATAGGACACATTGTGCCCAAACCTGAACTCAGCATCTTCTCTGCCCCCTCCTATGTGTCTCAGCTTTGGTGAATGGTACTGCCATCTACTGAGTCACCTGGACTCTAAGATGGGTCTTCCCCAACTCCTCCTTCTTCTCCCTTTCCTTTCATGATTGGTCAGTTGCCAAGACTGGCTTTTACATCTCTCACGTTTCTTTCCACGCCCAATCCATCCTCCAGCCACCTGCCCAGCCCACTTTCCTGCAGCGGTCTCTCATCAGTCATTGCCCTGTCCACTGGCTCCCTGATGCCTGCAGGACAAAACCCTAACTATGTGCAGACCCCCCAGCCCTTCCTGATCTGCACTTGCCACCTCTCAAGCTCATCACCTACCGTGACAGCATGCAGCCCCTGGGCCAGTGCATCAGCCCTGCTGCAATGCTTAGGACATGCCTCCTGGCCTTTGCACATTGTTTTCTCCCTGTCTGGGATGTCCTTTTCCTTTTCTGGTCCTCCAAGCCCCAGCTGACATATATCCTCTTGGAATCTCTCCCAGACTCTTTATGGGCAGAAAGCATCCCTCCTTCCTCCGCTTTCTATTAGCACAGTTTTTATGCTGCCAGAACCTTCTTAGCAAATGACACTGAAGGTGTTAGCTTGCCTGTCTGCTCCTCACCCCTACCCTGACGTAGAGCCTGTGGTAATGTCTCTGGATCCTTGGAACCTAGCACTAGCCTCCATTAGCGTTTGATGAACGAATGAAACAGCCTTCAGACACCACTTTTGTCTGCCATTCCCAGAGTGTGGCCTGCCTTCATTTTCTGTCTGTAAGCCCGTCCTGTCTCCTGTCTGTAAGCCCGTGGTGGTGCTGGGAGGGTAGGGGGTGGGATTCCTGCCCCTACAGCATTCCCAGGCTGGATGATGAGATAGCTGTGTCTGGCAAAGAGGGGCAATAGAGATCAGGTGAGCCTCATGCTAACGACGGGGCCAGTGGGTTTTACTAGGGTTTAGAGGAGGGAGGATCTCTCCCAGTGGGATGGGAATTGCGGGCCTTCTGTGCACTCCTCATGAAGATACGGAAAATGCCAACTCCCTAGACACCACCATTGTCCCTGAACTGAATTTACAGTTTCTGTCAGCTCTCTAGTGTGTTTAATTGAAACAGTAACTCAATTTTCGTGGAAAGCTCATTTCTCAGAAAAGGAAACAATTGTCAAGCTTTGTAGAACTCATTTTACATGTACCAACTGTTTTATAAGAAATTAAATTTTGCAGGAAACACCACAGACCTACACTCATCTTGCCTGTTCTTCTCACCAGCTTCCACCTACCCACTCCTGCACATCCCTCCCACACTCTGTCTCGCACGCCCACGCCCACATCTGCATGCAGAACACCCGTGTAGACGCACTCAGCAACTGCTCGGAGAATCAGCCGTGCTTGGAGCAGCAGGCTTGCCCGGGATTACTGTTGGAGATCAATCCATGTTTGTTTTCAAATTTCATCTGAAATTTACTATGATTCTCAATATGTTACACTGTGTGTATATGAGGATCTCTGGTCAAGTAAAAGGAGACTCTGGAAGGACTTGGAAATTTGCCTCTGGAGAGCTGGAAGGAAACCTTGCATATGACATTTACTTTATTTATTTATTTATTTTTATTTTTTTTGTCTTTTGTTTTTTTTCCGTGTCCGGCAACGGATCGCAACCCTCAGTGTTGCCCCCGTACCGGACCGGGGACCGGCAACGGGACTGCAACCCTCGGCGCTGCTCCCGCGCCTCGCTCAGCCAGTGAGTGGGAACCGGTCTGTATGTGGGATCCGAACCCTCGGGCGGGAGCGCCGCCGCGCTTCCCAAGCGGCGCACTATCCAGTGCGCCACCGGGCCTGCCCTATTTATTTATTTTTAAAAAAAGGAAACCAAGGAGCATAGTCTGGATGTTAACAAAAACATGCTAAAGGAAATGAACAGTCTCAGATGTTACAAAACATAAGATCCAATGTTACGTTTGATCCTTGACTCCCCACCACAATATATGTCCTTCAGCTTGCACACTTCTAGTGGCAAGGAACTCATTCCCTGCACAGGCAGTGCCTTCCACGGTTGGATGAGTCCACTTGTAGGGAAGTCATTCTTCCTGCTGCTGTGAAACCAGCCTCCCTTCTCATTAGCAGGGTGTATAGAGCAGTCTAGGCATTTATCTAAAGTGGGAGTTTCTCCCCCAAGAATAAGGTTCAGTTTATATAGCTAGAAAAAATTTTATACATAGAATAGTTACTATCAAATGTGAGATTGTCGGGCCGGCCTGGTGGCGCACTGCGATAGTGCGCTGCTTGGGAAGCGCGGCGGCGCTCCTGCCGAGGGTTCGGATCCCACATACAGACCGGTTCCCGCTCGCTGGCTGAGTGAGGCGCGGGAGCAACGCCGAGGGTTGCGATCCCGTTGCCGGTCCCGGTCCGGTACGGGGGCAACACTGAGGGTTGCGATCCGTTGCCGGACACGGAAAAAGACAAAAAAAAAAAAAAAAATGTGAGATTGTCATCAAAATGTGGACGGACATTAGGAATTTATCAAATAGCTTATTCCGAGTTCAATTATAGAAGTATTCCTTATTTAATTTTCCCCAAATTAAAATGAGCAGCTAGCTCTAAGATCTTTAACCCAAGAGGGAATAGGTGAGGAATAGCCTGCCTTAGGTGAGGAATAGCCTGCCTTCCCACTTGCAGAGTGCTTCTGGAAAGGATGCTAAAGAACTTGGTGGAGAAGGTGGACCTCTGAAAAATCATTACTTTCTGCTTTTTGCACTGTAGTTTCTGCCATTCAGTTCTTCAGAACGTATCTAGGATTAACAGTTGTCTTCTTCCAGAATCTAAGTCATTCATGTTATTCTGCAGCCTCAAAAGGTACTGGGACACCCAGGCAGGAAAGAATTTGTGCTTTGAAATTTTTTTCAGCGGCCGGAATTGCTGAGGAATGTTGAGATCCCAATAACTGGCTCTGAGTAATTTCACTGAGCTGCCAAAGTGTCATTGTAAAATCGACTTCTGTGTTTTCCATACGATGTAAGAGAAGTGCAATTAAATCATCATTACCTTTCCTTTCTCCCATTAATCCCAATTTGTCTTTGAACAATTCTCTAAATCTCACGTAATGAAGAACAGGCTACCCTTCAAGAATCTGAGCAGTGAGCTGCTTTTGCTTAAGATGTGGTAATGGGTTTAGAGCTCGTAACAACGTGTTTAAATGAAACGTTGCAATATTTTCCTGATTTTCTATTTTATGTCTTCTTTCATCATCAGATGTTGTTGGTACAACATCTGCATGATAGGCCTCCATAAAAGCAAACAGACCATAGTCAAGTGTAATGAATAACAAACTGTAGTTATCAGTATTACAAACACCATGAGCAAAACCAGCAGACATCCACAAGGCAGTAAGTTGGAAGTGCTGTCTGCAGTAGGAAAAAAAAAAGTCCATGTATCTATTAGGTTATTTGATGTTCCTGTATGTTGAAGTCTAGCCATGTCCATAGTAAATCCAATTCACCATAATGAGCCAAAATTTCTAATGAATTCTAAACCATGATTTTGCAACACGCAGTACTACCGTACCTCATTCCTTTACAATGTTTCCATTGCAGAACTGATCTCTCCATATTTCATCACTTAAAACCACACTTGCAGCTCTGCTAGTTGGAATTCCAAGATAGTACATAGCCTCACTACACAAAGATTCTCTCTCTGAAGAATGAAGCACAACTCTGCCATTACTATTTTGGACTGTGGATTCTTTCCTGAGCCTTTTAATTGGAGCTCCCACTTGCCAGCCTGCCTGTTCATGTAAATTCCGTCAAGGTAGGCTCTTCCCTCCTCAAGCTGATCTGCTCATGATCCAAACTGGTGGCCACCGTATCTGTGAGCCATTGAAATGGATCCAAATACTATCTTTTCACCGCATACAAGTGGGATAAAATCATCTGTTTCTGAGACAGATAAATCAAGGTCCAAAATATCTTCTAAAACTTCCTTTGAAACTGCTACAAGATGCATTGTTAATTTGAAAGGAATAGGGAAAGCAATTGAAAAAATACAGTTTTTGCTTTAGGAACATAATTTCCTTTAATAGTATCAATTGGCGACACAGCCAGTTGAGGTTTTCAGAGATGAGGCTACTTAGTGTCTGTTTTGCAGTAGCCCTGATGGTGGTTTGACTTGCTAGACTTGGCACTCCCGTCAAGGACAGATGCAACAACAGGCAGCGGATGATGGCATGACTGGTCACACCTGAGAGAAGCAGACACAGAAACTGTAGCCTCTGGATTAGGTGGCAAAACGAGAACCCAGTTCTTTGAGCCATATTTCTGCCCCAGGTGGGAGGTCACACTTAGCTTCTCCCTGGCAGGGCTGGCCAGCAGGAAGGTGGCAGGTCCCAGATACAGCCACATCCTTCACCAAGCACTTCTCCCCCAGCCTTCCCAGAGTGGCCTGGATGTCCCCTCTGGCTCTCCGGCCAGGGAGATGTTGAGGTTCCACGAGGCTGGCTCAGGAGGATCTGAGTGTTTTGAGCACAGAAATTCAGGGCCACTCCAGAATCGCTGTTCCTGCCTTAGGAGCCTGGCGCCTCCTCCTGGAGGCCCAGTGCCCACCCCACCCTCATCCCCCACTGTCCCCATTTGTAGGCCAAGTAGTGGGCAGGGTCTCTCCACAGGAGAACAAAGAGGCAGTCATTGTGAGAGGCAGGGCCTTTGCCATGCCCCAAGCATGCCCCAGGTGTGAGGCATGTGTCTTCCTCCAGCACCGTGTGGCAGCCCTCACCCTGCAGATCCCTGAGCCTCACCCTGGGGAGAAACCAGTCCCTTGAGGATGGTTGTCACAGCTACTGAGTGAAGAGCATGGACTCCCAGTCTGGGAAGGAGAGAGAGGGCGGTTGTGGTGTGTTGGTTGCCTAGTGTGTGCAGGTCTTTTTGTGGGGCACACCGTGGCCTTGCCTTTCGCATTTACCCTGAGAGCTCTGTTTAGGCTCATCCTCAGCTAGAGTCCCAAATGGTCTTAGCTGGAAGGAACCTGGAAAGTTATTTAGCCCCCCGATTTTTTAAATATGTCCTGGCAGAGGCGTGGGACATTGTGGAAATGCCTTGGGGAACAAAGCAACTCTACTTTAGGCATTTTTAATTATGAAAGTGATATATGAATACATTTTTCATTGCTTCTTGTGTGCTATGTTTCCTCAGTTATTCACATTGCAGTACATCCTCTAGTCATATTTTCAGAGAGGGTCTAGAGATGGCAAACTTTCTGACATCTTGGGCATTTTTTTAAAAAAATACCTATATAAGGATGACTGGTAAGGGGATTTTAACCCTTGGCTTGGTGTTGTCAGGACCACACTCAGCCAGTGAGCGAACCGGCCATCCCTATATAGGATCCGAACCCATGGCCTAGGTGTTATCAGCACCACACTTTCCCGAGTGGGCCACAGGCCGGCCCTCATCTTGGGCATTTTAAAATGTCTTTGTTTTATTCTTATTTAATTGGGGATAGAATTCTACGTTCAAAGTCATTTGCCCTTGACAATTCGAAGATAATTTCTGTCTTCTAATTTCCAGCGTTGCTAACATAAAGTCATATTTCACTCTGATTCTGTCTGTTGAAGGTCATCTGAATTTTCCCTTTGGCAGATTTTGGGATTTATTTTACTTTACTCCTAGTATTTTGAAATTCCCCTACATTGTAACTGGATGTGGATTTTTTTGAAAAATTTAGTCTTCTTAGTACTTTATAGACCTTTTGTCAGGTCGGGGAGAGGAGGTGCTTTTTAATCTGGATACTTTTACTTCTGTGTTTTTAAAAACATTTTAGCTATTGTTTCTTCAATACTGCTTTCTCTTTATTTTCTTTATTCTCTCCTTCTGTCACTCCAATTAAACAGGTGTTGGAATTTCTTTTTTTTTTTTTTCCTTTTTGTCTTTTTTTGTGACCGGTAACGGGATCACAACCCTCAGTGTTGCGCCCGTACCGCGACCGGCAACGGGATCACAACCCTCGGTGTCGCGCCCGCACCACGCTCAACCAGTGAGCAGACCGGTCTCTATATGGGATCCGAACCCTCGGCGGGAGCGCCGCTGCGCTCCCAAGTGCCGCACTCTACCGAGTGTGCCACCGGGCCGGCCCAGGTGTTGGAATTTCTGATTCCATCCTCAGTATCTGTAACTGCCTTGTCATTCTAGGTCTTTATGCTCTTGTGCTGCTTTCTGGGAGATTCTGTAGCCTGGTCTTCTTTGTATTTATCTGTCTTCAGAGGTGCCTAGTCTGTTATTCATCCTTCTATAGAGTTCTTTATTTCCACAGTTATATATTTTTATTTCCAAAATCTCTAATTGGTCTTTTTCATAACCACTGTTCTTATTTTGTAATAGTTTGTCCTTGTTTCCTGGCTGTAACATACTCCCTTTTCTCACTGAGAACATATGTTGTGTACTCCAGACCCCGATTGGATTGTTTTAACTCTGTTTCCTCAGGTGTATAGTCTATTGTTGGTTTTGGTGTCTTTCATGGTGTTGTTTTCCTCAGGTTTTCGGTGTTTCTTGCTTGTGTGTTTGCTTTCGAATTGGGATCCCACTTTCGTCTGTTTCCTGCCTCTGTACAGACTGTTGGGGGGGTGGGCAGCCTCTGCTTCTGAGACTTGCAGGTTTCAGGAAGGGAACGGAAGGAGTAGGGTGTGCCATCAGGCAGGGCACCTCAGGCTGGTCTTCAGAGTCTGGGGTCCCCCGGACCTCCCAGGATTCCCTAACCACCAGGGATTCTCCCCTATCTCTTTGCCCCAGTAGACAATTCTTATTGTTCTTATGGTGTTAAGGCACCCATAGGTGCCCCTTGGCAGGAGTGGGGAGTGGGAGGGGAGGGCAGATGGCTGTCCTGCAGAATTTCTACCTGTCTCCCTGTCAGAGGCCCACGGACCACACGCTGCTCCTGGCTTCCACCACTGCTTTGCAGGTTACTTTTCTCCCTATGGATTCTCCCATGGCTGAGGCCTCTGTTTTCAGCTTCCTATCTGTTTTCCCTTTGGCATTTCCAACTATTTCAAGTCCAGCATGATCTTATTTTTGAGCATGAACTATGCATTGTCATTCCTATGGATTTGATATAGGAAGGGGACTAGCCCAGGGAAAAGGGGGTGGTTGGGGTCGGGGGGAAGGGCACAGTCTTAGATGGCTGGCACCTCTTCATCAGTGCTACTGCTGGCTTCTTCCCTTGCAGGTGCATTTGTGGTTTCCTCAGAGATTCTCTGTCTGGGGGCCTCAGCCTCAGTCTTCTGATGTAGGGCAGTGCCCTTGTACCTGACCACTCCTTCTGGTCCCCCTCTGCTTGGAACTCTTTTCTATAGGATGCACATCCAACCTCCCAGGAAACTGTAGTGTCGTCCCCACGGGTGTGGACATGAACCCACTCTAGTGCAACCCTCTCTCCTATTCTGTGCCCTGGGGGCTGTTCTAGACAGTTTTTGGTCTTTAGATCTTTCCAGAAGACAGTCGGTCATTTCCCCCGTATCTCCAAAAGTCTAGGGTTTAGCGCTGGGGGAGGCACCCCTGTACCTCCGTCATGGGAGGGTGAGGAAGGGGTTACCTAGTTCTCTGACAGCTCTCCAAGGGAATTTTTCTGTGATCTCTCCCTGGTTAATCTTCCACTTCTCTGTTTTTCTCTTGAGGTAGGTGATGAGCTAATAGTTGAAAAATAGGTTTACGAGCTTTCAGCTGACTTGCCTAGGAGACCAACACCTAATTCTGCATTTTCTTCGGAACGTACCTAAGGAGATAGACATTAACTGGCCTTTGTTTTTGTTTTTCTGGTTTTTTTCAGGGAGCAAGAGGGCCTAATGGCTCAGTTGGTGAAAAGGTAAAAACAAACAAACAAACAAACAAACAAAAAACAAAAAAAAACCTCTCTCCCCTTCCTTCTTCCCCTTTTTTGGGTTTACTGTAATTGGACTGTTGGGCTGGAGTACGGAACATATAAATGTCAAGAAGCAGAGAGAAGCGTGTCTCAGAGGAACTGCTCAGGGAAGGCGCGACAGCTGGGGCTGGGGAGTCCGCGCCCTTCCGTTCTGTCCTTCCTCGCCCCTCCCTACACATGCAGTCACGTGAGCGTATCAGCTTATCTCCACGTGAAATGTCAATTAGCAAGACAGCTGTGTCTGTACCGTTACGCAGTACGGATCAGAGAATTCATCAACCTAATTAACTTCAAAGAGTAGTTTTCTGACTCAGGCGTTCATGTTTTCCCTTTCACGAGAGAACCCAGGGCTGGGTGATCAGCCTGTCCTCTTCCTTGCAGGGTGACCCCGGTAGCAGAGGCTTACCAGGACCCCAAGGGAAAAACGGACAAGTTGGCACTCCTGGGGTCATGGGACCCCCAGGGCCTCCTGGCCCACCTGGCCCCCCTGGCCCTGGATGTGCAACGGGACTTGGATTTGAGGTACTTTCCCCCCTTTCTGTGGTGTAAGAATGATGCGCACTGAGGCTACTGGACAGAGCAGCTTCCTGAACGCTGACCAAGGGCAGGGGCTACACCGATTCCCCTCTGACACCCCCACCACCCCCTCCAGCTCCCAGCACCACACCTGGCCCAAGTAGGTGCTCAGGAATTGCATCTGAAATTCTCAGTCTTCCTCCCCGCAGGATACCGAAGGCTCTGGAAGTATCAGGCTGCTGAGTGAACCCAGAATCTCGGGACCAACGGTTTTGAGTGTAGGTTGACTTTTGAAACCTCATTATGAGGATTGTCATGCTAGAGTGAGGAGCTGTGAGTGCCTTCCTGGCTCTGCCACTTTCAGCGATTCACCCCCTCTGTGCCCCCAGCCCCCAGCTGTGCAATGGAGAGACGAGGTGCCCTTTACAGGTGCTTGGTCTGAGGAGCGGCCCAGAAGTTGTGCACAAAACATCCTGTGGGAAAACTTGCAAACCATCTTCATCTCTCTTCACTTCTCTCTCTCTCTCTCTCTTCCCCCCACCCACTGTCCCTTATCACCAAGCACCTCCCCCTCATTGCCTCGCTCCTGCTGCCCCATTCAGTACTCACTCTGCCCATTTCGGGACCCTGCACTCCTGGCAGGTGCCCCTCCTGCTGCATCTAGCCTGTGGGGCTGCTGTCCATCTTCTGCTCTGATGCCTGCTGTCATGGGACCAACCTCCTGCATCTCATTACCTCTGTCAAGTGGGACCCAGAGCTGAGCACTGAGCCCAGGAGACTGAATATGCAGACCTCCCAGCCCCCAGATGCAGAGGGCTCTGAGGTTCCAGGTCAAGAGGCCACTCACCCCGTGCTGGGAGAGGGCCTCTGCTTCTCTTGCTCTCTGTGGGGTGCTGTCACCTTCTGACTCTGGAAGGGGATTTGCCCCTCATCCTTTGCTCCCATTGCCTGGGAGATGTGGGAAGATGAAAGGATAGAGGGAGAGTAAGCAAAGTGAATAGAAGAAAACCACAGAATGTTTGTTTATCTGTTTTTATTTTTTCAGGGTCCCAAAGGAGAAAAAGGAGACCGGGGACCCAAGGTAAAGTCACAGATCAGAGGTGGGGAGTGGGAGGACTTTCCAGCCTAGTTCTAGGAACATTATCCACCTACAATGAGTTCTTTTTCACTCTCGCTGCTGTAACCAGGGCGACAGGGGGATGGATGGAGCCATCATCGTGGGACCCCCTGGGCCCAGGGGGCCACCTGGACGCATTGAGGTCTTGTCTAGTGTGAGTATTGTCCAGGTCAGAGCTTGTCTATATGTTTTCTACCCTTGCTAGAGGGGAGAAAAGGTTATGCAGGGGCACGTAGCCAGCACCTGGTGCCAGAGCTTCCATCTGCCAGCATGCTTCACCTGTCTGCACTTACCCCAATACTGCTGTTCTCTGCTTCCAGAACCTTCTTTTCTGGTTGGCAGCATTTGGGGTCAACTCAAAAAGAGCCTAGAGGCATGAGAGGTGTTGTGGTCTTGCAGTGACCCCAAATAAGCAGCATCCTCTTCCCCAGCCAGGTTCTGAACAAGTGAGAAATAAAGCCAGAGAGGAAAAGGTAGGCCCAAGGACCACCTTTATTACTGACAGAGGTTACATCGAAGGACTTGGCCCAGTGGGAGAGCCAATGTTTCTGCTAACTACACCCGAGAATTAGGGTGTAGACTTGCCTACTGTAGTGGGTGTGCTTCCTGGAGGCGGGCAGATGCAGAGAAGGAAGGGTGGGGCTGAGCTGAGCACACCCAGAACTGCCCGTCAGGGAGCTTTCTCCACCTCTGCAGGGGCCAAGAGGAGCCAAGGTTACACTCAGTGGCCCCCCTCATGTCAAAGGAAACATCTTTGTATGGCCCCTTTGGAGGGTTCTTTGGCAGTCTCTTACAACTAAAAATATCCATACTCCAAAATCCTGCGTGGAAAGATCTCCACACAAGGAAAGCATCTCCCTCCCCTCCAGCCCTCGTCGACAGGGAAGTCAGTAACGTGTGGGTTTTTACTTCATCATTAACCCCCATCCTGGTACAGCAATGGCCTGTTAACGTGTCTGTCTCCACTTGCTCCCTGGAGCTTCTTTTCTTCTCTGAATCCCCACCACCCGGCACATCGTGCAGGCTCAATCAGTGTTGCCGGACTGAAGTGTTGGGTGTCATTTAATTCTCTGTCCCTATCATAAACACTCTGGCATAAACACTCATGGGCATATACTCTGCCTCAGGTCCCCTGCTGGGCCCTGTGGGTATAAAGATAAGACACAGTTCCCACCCCCTAGGAGCCCCCAGTGCAGTCAGGAGAATGGCTGTAACAGCTGTAACCGAGAGGCAAAGCGATGTAAGTGGGGGAACAAGGAAGGAAAAGAGGTTTGGATATGAGAAATCAAGGAGGACTTTCTGGAGGAAGTGCTTTAAGCAGGAACTGGAAAGCTGAAAAGGATTTTTATCAGGTAGGCGTGGAGGACAGAACTTTCAGAGTTCAAGTGGCAAGGACACCCTGAGTCAAATGTGGGTGTGCCCAAGGCACAAGGAGCTGACTGCCAGGGGGTAGTGGGCATGGGGGTGGATGAAGAGAGATGGAAATTTGGAGAGGAGGCTGGAATGTGGACTGGGACCAGATCACGGTTCCCTTGAAATTAGGACATCACATTTATGAAAAACCGTGGCCCTTTGGAGAGAAATAACATCGTGCTGGTAGACAACAGAAAGACAAAAAGTCCCAAGTATCTGGAAAAAGGATGACTAGAGTTAAAAGAAAAGAAGTATAATTAAAATATCAAGTGTGGGTAAGGGTATGGGGAAAAGGTAATCTTGTATGCTTCTGGTGGAAGTGTAAATTGTATGGCCCCTTTGGACGGCTCTTTGGCAGCCTGTTAAAACTAAAAATGTCCATACTCCAAAATTACACATGGAAAGTTCTCCACACAATATGGTTGAGTGAAAAAAAGCCAGCTGAGGGATAATACATACAGCCTGATGCCATTTATGTAAAATAACCACATGGACACACACACACACATACACATTCACATATATACAGCAACACTATATGCTTTCTATGGGTATATATACATATATATATGTTTAAAACTTTAAAAGAGAGATGGTATTCATATACTGGATAATACATACAGCCTGATGCCATTTATGTAAAATAACCACATGGACACACACACACACACATTCACATATATACAGCAACACTATATGCTTTCTATGGGTATATATACATATATATATGTTTAAAACTTTAAAAGAGAGATGGTATTCATATACTGTGTAATTTTAAAATTAATTAAAAGAGGAAAGTGATAAGGCAGCGCAGGGTTGTTTTTTATAAGAGTGGGAGGGAGGGATGTGTTTGGCAGTGGGTTGAGGGTGTTCTCAGTGTCTGCCGTGTTCTGCCATGCTGCGTGACTTCAATTAAAGCCTCACTGCCAGAAACAAAGCGGAACACGTGCCATCCTTTGTCCTCATTGTCTGATTTTTCTCTTTTCAGGCTTTGATCAATATTACCCGTGGATCCATGAATTTCTCAGACATTCCTGAGCTCATGGGGCCTCCGGTTTGTATCCACAGCTGCCCTAGAGTGAGGTTTCTACCCACACACCCCTGTTGAAACAAAATTGGGTTGGTTTGGAATCCTTTTACTCCCAAAGTACAGCTAGAATATATCAAAGTAGAATGGTAAGAGGACTTCACATTTTTGAAAAGTTCCTATCACATTAATTTGATCTTGCAGAGAGTTTTGTCCAATGCAGTGGAAACCTGCAGTCCCACTCATCGTAAATATGTGTAATAGAAATCAGAGAATCCTAAGTAACAAACCAGTTACTGTCTGTGCAACAATTTTGGCTTGCTTATATTTATATTATCTCATTTCATGGAAGAGGAAGAGCCTAGAGAGACCTATCCTCGTTTTAATGGGGAAACTGGAGCACAGTGGGGAATGTGGCTTGCTTTAGTCTTTCTAGCCCCATTCTAGAGGTCTGGAAGTGAACACACAAAGAAGTCACATTATTTCTGCAGTCCGCCGTTGGCCCATGGCACAACAGGATCTAAGAGGAAGGAGGCTTCCTCCCACAGCCCATATAATAAATCCATGTTGCAACTGCCAACGTCTGCTGGTGGCAGTTGGGCAGAGAGGAAAGAGCTCTGGTCTTGGGGGCCTTGGGGTTCCAGCCCCATCTCCACTACACACCACTCTGAGCCTCTGATTCTCTTCCCTGATAATACCTCACCAGTCTTTGGGGCAGCTTATAAGAGGTGAGGGATGGGAAACTGCTTTGCACACAGTGGTACTCTGTGCAAGTCTCTGTGGAGATGGAAGCTTACAGTGTCACAGGTGCTGGGGCCACCACCCCTGAAGACCCCAATGAGGTTGGCCTGAACCCCTGTCCATCCATGACCTGGGGAAAACCCAGTGCCTGCCCCAGGATTTCTGCAAACCTGGCCTGGCACCAGGTTCCTCCTTCTGCCTCTGTTTGTGGATTGTCTGGCTGTCTCTTCTGTACTGCACCCAACAGGGTTCCCTTTCCTTGATTTCTACTAAAACCCCAATAATCAACCCTGAAACAAACTAGCAAAGAAAAGTCTATTCACAGATGGTCTTTGTTTTCTCCAGACTATAGGAAGTTTAGGGTGACAGGTAAGCTGATACTGAAGCAAAACACAGACAGCCTAAAATTGGAGATTGGGTGTCTGGGTTGTAACAGCGCCTGGCCTTGTCCGCTGTATTCCCTTGCCTTCACCCACTTTCCTTTTCCTCACTTCCTTCCCATTTGCTCCCCTCCCCTGGGAAGAATCCAGGCCTTCGGGGCCCCTTCATCCCTAATTCTGGATCGAGTGGCAGTTCCTGTTCAGTGACATTTCCCTCTCTGGGAGGATTCAAGTCCTGGCTGTCACCCTCATGCTTTTCCACCCTGCTATAGATACAGTATGTTGAGAAACATGTCTCTAGCTAGCTCGCTTGCTCTCTCTCTCTCTCTCTCTGTGTATATATAGAGATACAGATACAGATATAGACATAGACACAACTACAGATATAGATATCTATATATCATGCCAAACTCATAAGCCTTTGATAGCTGCAGGTGTCTGGGGTTGTCAGGAAGAAGGGTCCTGGCCCCTGCGGAGTGGAGCACAAACTCTGTGTCCCAGGTCCTTTAAAATTCTCACGGCTACTCAGGGAAAAGAACTGAATCCACTAGCATGCACTTGCTTCCACCCCAGACACCCCAGTTCACCCTGAGCCGCCTCCTCAGAGTCTGATAACCGAGGTCCCGATGCTGCATTCATCAGCCCAAAGATTTCAAACATTGAACAGTTTTATGGAGGAGGCTGTGACAGAATGCAGTTTTGGTGGGAGGTGGAATGGGTGACTATGGGTGCCTCAGTGCAGTTTCTGCCCCTAGCACTGACTAGCCCTGTGACTGTGCACGGTTCCTGCCACTCCCAGGCCTCAGTCTCCTCCTCTGCAGAATGGGCTAGTGAGCCCTGCTGTGGGAACATGCTTAGGCCTTTGGAAGGTGCTGGCAGGGAGTGGGTCCCTGAGGAGCAGTGTTCTTGCTAACTCTGGAAATCCTGCTTTGTCTTTGGTGTGTCACAGGGGCCCGATGGTGTGCCTGGGCTGCCAGGATTTCCAGTAAGTACAGAGACTCAGTTAAGTGGCAATAAAGGGGTGAAATGCCTTTTGGGGCCAGCTTTGTTCTATGTGAGTCATCGTCTCAGGCCTTCAGTGTCTGTTGCAGTTGGGGAGAGGTCACCTCTGGCTGGGTGTGTGAATTTGGCTCTGCAGAGGCGTGGAGGGCAATCCTGAGGGGGACAGCATGAGCATTTGTGCAGAGGCCATTGGGGATGCAGAGAGGTGGAGGGACAGGTGGGGTGGAAGAGGAGGTGCTGAGGCCTGGCTGGGCAGGGCTTGGGTGTCAGGCTAGGGTGTTTGGATCCCATCCCATAGGTCGTGTGGAGCCAGAGAAGGGGTAGGAGTCAGGGAAGGTGAATGGTGGGGGAAGCAGGCTGCCCGATGGCCTGGGGGAGCCATGGACTGAGCAGAGGCAGCAGGACCAGGTAACAGGCTGTTTCAGTAGCACTCGGTTGGAGGAAACTAACATGCAAAGAGGTGTGGGGCCTTTGGGCCTCCTAACACTCAGTGCCGTCTTCTTTCCACTAGACCACAATTTCTGAAAGTTAAGATAATATCATGGCTAATTACGACTTCCATCTGCCTGGGAATAGCACTCTCTATTCTATTTTTTGAAAAAAAAAAATTCCGATTGGTAAAGCATTTTAATCTTAAATAACAAGACTCCTTCCAATGATTTCTTCCAGGGCCCAAGAGGACCCAAAGGGGACACTGGTTTTCCTGGATTTCCAGGACTAAAAGGAGATCAGGTAAGGAGTCCAGGTATCTGGGTGGGACCGTGCTCCGGAATATGCTACACATTTCAAATTGGCTGAAAGTAGAAAGTAGCTGTTACCTTTTTTCTTCATTGAGATACAAACTTGCCCCTTCAAATTGTACAATTCAGTGATTTTAGTAGATTCACAAGGTGGGATAGCCATTACCATTATCTAATTCTTGAACATCTTTATCACACCAAAAAGAAATCCTGCGCCTATTAGCAGTCACTGTGTAGCTGTTAACTTTTATAATCTCAAGGTTCCTCCATGGTGAAGTTTGCCATGGTTGGTGATACCGATTTTCACCATAATTTGGAAAGAGAACTCAGTTGAACACTCTCTCGAATGCTGTTATTGCACATGCCATACTTTGTCTAACTGCCTGTTGGACATCACTGCTAGGATGTGCACTCCCTGAGGACAGGCTTTGTGCCAGTGTCTTTTCTAGAGCTCCAGCACCAGCACACGGCCTGGCACACAAACGACACTGGAAACACTTGTTGAGGAAAGACTATATAATTAATGGATAAAATGAATGCTAATATTTAGAAATTATAAGTTGGGGCATTCTGCAGTTGGATGGCAGTCTTGGTCCAAAATCTTTGCAATCAATATTTAGCATACAGAGCACTTCCTGAGAACTCCCAGGGTTCAGAACTGACCTTTGTACCCTTCCACATTTGCCTCTTAGAATTAACTTCCCAGTTGGGCCAGAGACTGCATTGGATTAGTTTCTTCCCCCATCCATTTATGGACTCATCCGCCTTTTATCCATTGATGCCCTAAGGTGTGTCAGCCAATTTCCTGTCCTAGGCTCTAGGAATGTAGAAATAAGATGTGAGCAACAGATATGCAAAGAGACCGCAGAGAGCATGTCGATTGCTGTCGTGCAGGTCTGCACTCCACGTGGGGCACTGTGCAAGCCCCTGAACCTGCTGTGGGGAGGCACGGAGGGGTGCTGTGCTCTCTGAGAGGAGCCAGCTTGGGCTTCTCCCCTCTCTGCCTGCCCCCCACCCCCATTCCACACTGGCCTCCAAGGAAGAGAGAGGCTCTGATATCTATTGGGCCACTGTTGCAAAGTGTGGAGGGCTGGGTGTTCTGGGCAAAGGTTTGGCACCACATGGGGGTGATGTCTTGGGACGCTTTTGCTGCCACAGGTCTGCAGAAATGGAATGGGGCCAGGGCAGCTCTGGAGTGGGAAGATTGGCTCTTGCTTTAAATGCTCTGTTTCCTGTTTGGTGAGGTCAGATGGATCTAGAGAGACCAGCGTGCCACCCCCGCCCCAACCTCCTGCCACTTTGAATGACTGGGATGGGCGCCCAGGCACCTCTGCTCTGGCCATTGCGGCAAACGCACTTTCTCTTGCTCTGCCTCTAATGCTTTCGTGCTTGCTGCTGCTGCTCAGGACTGCCTTTCCTCACCAGCGGCATCGTAAGATCCAATATCAGGTATGGGCTCAGGGGGATGGAGACAGATGCGGCTCTGCTTGCTTTGGTGCCATCGCCCTGGCTGCTTCCAGCCCTGTTGAAAGGACGCTTCAGTGTGCACCGCCCCCCGCCCCCAGATCCCCCAGGGGCCAGCATTGAAGTCTGGGGCCAAAGCCTCAGGGTGACATAGAAGATTTCTCTCCCTGGCCTTGTTCACTGGACATACATCTTCTCAGAAGCCTCCTGAGGTAGTAGATGGTCTATGAGGACAGGATTAGGGGTGGGATCCTGCTTCCTTACCACCAGTCCACCCATCTCATGTTTCCCAACATCTGGGGTAGCTTTGCCTGACCAAGTGAGTATTTGCACAGGAGCCAGGATTTGGGGGACAAAGTGGCACACAGACACACAAGGCCCCTATGTGGAGAGAGGCTTCTGTGTTGGGAGAGACATCTCTTTCCCAATTTCATGTGTTTTAACAAGAATAAGTATTCCTGGAGGAAACAAATCTTGAGTTGCTAGGAAAGCAAGCCATCAAACACATTAGGAGCCAGAGGTTCCTGGAGGGGCACCATGTGGCAAAAGGTGGACCATATTAGGACTGGATCCTAGGGGTCTGAGAATGAGGATGCAGATCTGTCCTCAGTGGGAGCCCTGGGGGGGCATAGAAGACACGCCTGTGATCTAGGACAGTGACTGTGATGGTGCACAGAGGGGAGAGCTCAGAGAACATTTGGTTGCACAGCAGGCTGCTACAGTGCTCTAGCGTGAGGTAGTGTTGGAACAGTGGGCTTGGAGGGGTGAGGGGAAGGCAGGAGTGGGAGGTCTTAGTGATCCTCTGGACAAGGTGGCAGGAGGAGGTTCAACTTCATCGAAAGGTTCTCTCAATTTCAGGGTGAAAAGGGAGAGCCAGGTGCAGTCCTCACAGGGGACATTCCTCTGGAAAGGCTGAAGGGGAAAAAGGTAATTATGCCACCAAACCCTGAAGGCACCCACTGCTTCAGCTTCCTGTCTTTGTTTCTGCCACAAACAGTGTTCCCCTGAGTGATCAGAATGCATCTTCCTGTTTTAGGGTGAACCTGGAGCACATGGAACCCCAGGACCCATGGTAAGCCAGAGCATCTCTCAGCTGGGTCTGCACTGGGGATTGAAGCATTTATCTTACTTTGGCTCAATTAGATTTAGTTGTCCCAGTTGTGAAAATACAAAAGACATGGCAAAATGTGCATTATTATGGTTAGGCTAACTGCAATTAAGTACAAATCTCAGCAGTTAACGCAATGGCAGCTTATTCTCGCTTTTGCCCTGTCCACTGCGGTTGTTCCCAGTTAGGCGTCTCCCCTCCAAGCAGTGACTCGGGGACCCAGGCTGCTCCCATTCTGTGACTCTGCCATCTTGTGGATTCACCAGCATCTTCTAGCTGGCAGGCTGAGGTTGGAGAATGGGAGGAGACAGTGGAAGATAATGAACATCACTTCTAGCACATTCCTCTGGCCAAAACTCAGATGCCTGGGGCTTCAGACATGTAGGTTAGCTGTGTCCCCAGGAAAGAGAGCAGAACCAGAATGTGGAGAGCACTCCCAGTTACACCACAGTCCTTGCCATCTGAAGATTGCCAGTTGCCTAGGGAACCTTCAAAGGAACCCCATGAAACCTCCCTGGGCTTTTGGACTCTGGTTGTGGATCTGCTACTTATGTGCTGTGAGACCTTGAGCAGCCCTCTTCTTTCTCTGGGCTTCTGTTCTCCCATCTGTACATTGAAGGGATTGAATTAGTACTAGATGATATTATAGGTCCCTTCTGGCCTTACTGTTCTAGGAATTTATAACCCATATGGGCTTCCGAGCAGTTTTCATAACTACTCTTTCTCTCAAGGATGAACCCTAAACTTCTCTGTCATACATTCTTCTCCAGAGAACAAAGAAAATTCAGGTGTAGAACATCCACTGTGGGTCAGACACTGCACCGATAGTTCTCATAGGCCATCTCATTTCATCCTTACAACCCTGAGAGGTGAATATCAGAACCCTTATTTTGTAGATGAGGAGACCAAGGCTCAGAGAGGTTAAGTAACCTGCCCACTGTCATACAGCTTGTAAGTGGCAGAGTGGGGTTTTGAGCCAACCTGTCAGACTCCACCACCAGAGAGGCTCTGTCCAGGCTCTTTCCACCAGACCCCACAGCCTCCAATAGACAAGCTGCCCTTGATTCTTTTGGAATATTTTGGGCTAGAGAATTGTCCATGGAGTTTGGTTGAAGCTGGCTCTCAGGCCTGGGGAGAAAGGATCACACATTTCTTTAACAGACATGTGTCCTTGATGAATGGCCCATAATCTCCAAGGTGCTTCCTTCAAAAGACCTTCTGAGGCCTTTGGACCCTTAGGTCAGGCAGAAAGAACACCCTGGAGTGAGATGGCTGAGGGGTAAGGCAGACTGGGGGAGTCCTGTGTTACCACTGGTTAGCCACTTGCTAATCTCCAACACTGTGGAAGGTGCAGACAGTTGGCCCTTAGGTCAGGCAGAAAGAACACCCTGGAGTGAGATGGCTGAGGGGTAAGGCAGACTGGGAGAGTCCTGTGTTACCACTGGTTAGCCACTTGCTAATCTCCAACACTGTGGAAGGTGCAGACAGTTGACAATGGTGGCCAGTGGGCTGCTGCAGATGCCTTGAGGTTGTTCCCACTGAAACCCAGCTGTACACAGCTTGCCAAACACAGGCAGTAAGGGGCACCTTCTTCTAGTTTGCATAAAGGTGCCATATGGGGCAGCTGTGGCCCTGGTGACCAGTATAGCTTACAACTCCTTTACAATTCACTAGGGTCTTGTTACTCAAAGTGTCCATGGACCAGCATCATTCACATCACCTGGGAACTTCTTAGAAATGCAGAAGCTCAGGCCCCACCCCAGACATACTGGATCTGCATTTTAGCAAGATCCAGGTGATGCCTGTGCACATTTGGGAAGTGTTGCACTAGAACATAGCAGCCACGTGGCCTTCTGGTGTTGCTTTTCTTTCCCTAAGAGTAATGTGGACTGGGTACTTTACATACAACCCTGTTTCAACTGTTTTTATTTGCCACTTTTCAGGGCATGGCTATACATGTTAATTAATGTTAGAAGGAAGAAGGGGTGTGGAGGGCACTAGGCTTAAATGAGTCATTCCTCTGGGAAACAGGGCAGACCCAGCTATAGGAGTGAGAAGGTGCAGACTGAAGATAGAGCATGTTCTGGGAAGAAGTACATTACGGATGGCGTCGTAGACCAAGTAGTCTTCATCCTAGACGCTGGAAGGCAGGAGGGCTCCTGCGGGAGGTTGGAACAGGACGTCGGAGGAGTGGGCAGCCACTCTAGAAGCATGTGGACCTAGAAAGCCAGCACTGAAATAAGGTCTATGGGTCAGGGACTCAGCTGGAGGACTGAGGTTCCAGGATGAGACTCTGGACCCTAGGGACAGGTAGAAGAAAGGCAGGAACCAATTCCTGGAGCAGGTTATCAGGAAAGGCTGTGTTACCTAGAATGGGGGATGTGGTGAGCCCTGGGACATAAGACCTAGGGCAAAGGTCCATGTTCTGTGCCGGCCTAGCACCGGGCTACCTGGGTGCTGAAGCCCTGAACTCTTGACCTGCTCCTTAGCCCTGACTGAGAGGGGTTGGGTTCGGAGTCTGGGAGAGGATAGAGCCTGCAGGAAAGGGGTGTGGTGAGGGGGTGGAGCAAGTGCTTCTGGCTGGGAGCAGGAGGCCAGAGACAAGGGACCAGCAGGGGAGCACTCATGATTGCTCCTCACCCTCCTTCCTCCTCTCGGTGGTTCATCATCACCACCACCAACAAAAGCAGGCTGCACACCTGCATCGCCCTGTGATTTTCTGATCTGGTGTTTGTTTTGCATCTAGGGGCCCAAAGGCCCACCAGGACACAAAGGAGAATTTGGCCTCCCCGGACGACCTGTAGGTATCAGTGTTCCTCAGACTAGACGTAAGGGGAGGACAATGGGCCAGCCTGGCCTGTGGGCAGTAGGTTTACTAACATGTTCCCTGTGGTTTCAGGGCCGCCCAGGACTGAATGGCCTCAAGGGTGCCAAAGGAGATCGAGGGATTATGATGCCGGTGGGTCAGGGTGCCACAGCCACCATCCCCATCCCTAGTCACCCTGGGAATGGAGCCAGAGGCTGGTGCCCAGAGAAGGGGTGAGAGAGTGCCATGAGTGGGGCGTGCAGAATGAGTGTTCAGGAATGTTGTCTTCTCCTACCACCACTTCCAAAGGTCCTCCCACCCAGCTCTGTCCTCCAGCTCACTCTTGGAGGGTTCCTGACACCTAAAGCCCCTTAGTGGAGCATATACTTCCTGACGCAGACCCTAGAGGGAGGGTGGGAAAAAGCAATCTAGGCATGCTCGGGAAATGTGGTTCCAAATGCCAGGCCTTCTGACTCTAGGGTAATGTCCCCTCCTCCCTCCTTTACATAGTCCCAGGGATTGCTCACATCACTGGGGGCTCAGTAAAAGGCCTCACGAGATGGCAAACCTGGGTGACATCAGCAGGGCCTAGGGTCAAGGAAGAGGAAGCCAACATTTGTTGAACAACTATTATGTACCAGACGTGGTGCAAAGTGCTTTTAAGGACAGTATCTCACTTAGTCTTGGTGATAACTGACCCACGAGACACTCTGAGGTCCTTGTTTTACACAAGAGGAAGTTGGGGCCTATGGAAGTTAAGGTACTCACCAAAGGTGACACAGCCAATAAGCACCAAACCAAGATGCGAACACAGCTCTCAGTCCAGTGCTAGGGCTGTTCGCATCATTCTGTGTCCAGAAATCCAGAAATACGGTTTTACTGAAGCATCAGGGGTCTGCCTCACACTCATCAAGCCCTCTGGAACTGTTAGGTAAACTGATGCCTTCCTTTAGAGTGGTCAGTATAGCTTCCGCATGGACGAGAGTCCTCATGCCTGCCCATCAGAGCCTCCTGCTGCAAGATCCTACCTCTGGACTTGGAGGAGAAAACATTGCGTCTTATTAAGGCCAGGCTGACCTAGCTTTGAGTGACTCTGCTCTCTAACAAGAGTTGTGCATTTATTTTTGCCGTTCTGAGGTCCTCCCCCAGGCACCATCTCATGTTAGGGATCCCCCCGCCGTCTCCACACTAGGGGTGCTCTGATAGAGAGGCGGGAGTTGGCTCAGTGTTGAGCACTGCTCTGGGAATCAGAATCTGGGTTCCGATCTCAGTTCTGCTGTAAGTTGCTGTGTGGCCTTGAGCAGGTCGCTTCCTCTCTCTGGGCCTCATAATCTGCATGTGTCAACCGGAGACAATACTTGTTGCTCTGCTGTCTCCCCTGTGACTTGTGAAGATGCAGGCAGGTCATGGTTGTGGAAGTGCTCTGTCATAGGGACCAGCCTACCCGAGGGAGAAGTTAGCTGGCTTCAGAGGACCCTCCTCTCCTTGCTGTGTTCTCAAACCCCGGGGGGAAGTATCCTGCAGCTGCCTGCACCCATGACGACCTGAACTCAGGAATGGCCTTCCTTTTCTCCCTTCAGGGCCCACCTGGCTTACCTGGTCCTCCAGGCCCCCCTGGATCACCTGGAGCTGTAATTAACATCAAAGGAGTAAGTTGGGATTGGGTAGGAGGAGACCATCGTGAGGGATTGGGCACGGGGCTGGCCTGTGCTGGAGTCGTGTGTTCTGATGGCCTCATCTCTCTTGTTCTCATTTTCCACAGGCTGTTTTCCCAGTACCCGTCCGGCCACACTGCAAAATGCCAGTAAGTCGCAGTCACTGCCTTAAAGAGCAGACTTTCTTATAGATAACAACTCAGAGGAAAAGATCAGTCTTTGTCTGGGGCCACTTCTATGCACAGCTGTCCTCTCTTATGCCTTCTATCACCTACATATAGACCCTTAAGTGACTAAAAGCTTCTAGATAACAGACCATGGCAATGAAACATACTGGATCTTCTAAGGGTGCACACACTGGCAGGTTACTTGTTTTAATACCATAAAGAAAGCAGTGTCTTTTGTTATTGTGGCCACATTAGCTTTATGCCGGGGGCCGTATACAATCAGAGAAAGTAGATCCCTTAAAAAATATAGATGAGAAAAAAAGCAATGCCAACCTGTGGTCTTTGCATTCAGAACTTTGTGCTAAAGTCTACAACTGTGTTCTGTCCTTTCCCAATGATCACACTACCGCACAGCACACAAGCCTGGCAGGCAGGGATTATCTCTCGCTTTCTACTGAAGCAACAAACTGTGACTCAGAGAAGCTCACTGACTCGTTCAAGGTCACAGGACATGACGGAGCTGGGACCATAACTCAGGTCTCCTGACCATCAGGCAGCAGGTGCAGACACTCTGATTCTGGGGGTCAGGCACTTGGCTGGTCCCCTAGCCAGTTAGTGGCATGGTCTCTGAGGTTTCACATATTAGGAGACTTGTTTCTGTGGGAAAACCCAGGGAGGGTGGGCCTCAAGAGCAGGCATTAGTCACAGAACCACGCATAATAATTCTCTCATTCATTCAACAAATATTTATTGAGTGCTCACCTGGTGCCAAGTACTCTGCTACGCTCTGGAGACACAGGGGTGAACTAGACAGGCGTGGTCTCTACTCGCAGGAGCTTGCACATTGCAACTTAGAAATATTCCTTGAAGCAGGTTCATAATTGATGTCTGTTGGAGGTGGTGATGCGGCTTGGGTCAGAGGCTTCAAAATGATGCAATTGGCTGAGTGTTTGCCCAGACATCTGTCTATGTCTGAACTTTGAGGCATCAAGTCTGCAGTCCAGGGCCCAGGAACTTTGGCCTGGAAGGCAGAAGACAGGACCCACTGATGTAAGGTGACTAAGGGGCCTGCTGTCTCCCAGCTCTATGCAAGGACAGTAGCAACTCAGTAGGTATTTATATTGATGGCCCAGAGAGAAACATACAATATCAGTGCTGGGGGGACCCTCCTGGACAGGACCCACTGATGTAAGGTGACTAAGGGGCCTGCTGTCTCCCAGCTCTATGCAAGGACAATAGCAACTCAGTAGGTATTTATATTGATGGCCCAGAGAGAAACATACAATATCAGTGCTGGGGGGACCCTCCTGTGAGATTGCTGCATCCCACCTCCTTATCATACAGGAGAGACTGCAGCCCAGAGAGGCAAAGGGCTGGCTCCAGGTCCCACAGCGAGTTAGTGCCAGAAGCCCCTCCCAACTAACATGATTTCAGGCTTCAAATGGGCCCACCATGGGACAGCACTTGACAAACTTTAAGGTGCTATAAAAATGCTACTGCAATTACCATGACCTGTGCTAGGACTCTTTGTAGTGACCATAGCCTTTGGGAGTCATGGGGTTACTTAAAAGAAAAGAAGCCAAAGATGGGCTTAGAGCATTTTTGGTGAGTTTTTATTTCCTGTTGCCTTGATGGACACCATGGAGCTGGGGCATGGACAGTCCTGATCAGCTGTCAAAATGGACATTTTGAAACAGAAATGCTTCCTCTCAGACACAGCATTTCACAAGGGCCTTCTTATTTCAGCGCCTCTACCGTAACAATTTACAGCGCAGGCCTAGTGGGGGAACTCGGTCAGCTTAGCTACAAGACGTCAGCTTCATGCTTAACTTAGAAATGCTTTTCCTGGAAGATTCTGTCTCCTCCCCCCATCTTCTCCTGGTGACCCCTGAGCAGCTTGTGATCCTCCACCCATGAGAACAGAAGGATCTTGACGCTGGATGGATCACTTTGATTCCATATATTAACTGGGGAAAAGGTGACAATGGACTATTATTGTAGGTGGCTCCATCTTAATAGATAAGAAAATGCAGGAATCTGGGAAAGAACTGGAAGGGGATATTATCTAGAATAGCTGTGACTCCAGACCCTTGGCACTTAACGGGGTCCAGAATAGCCTTCCAATCTAATGCTAACCCCCCTTGTGAATTGTCACTACCATCAGCTCCTGTTCATTGTGCTCATCTTTGATTACACACAACAGCAGAGCTAATGGCAGACCCAGCATCGTGACAGGGCACATCAGTTGCTTGGACACTTGACTTCTTGCAAGAATCAATCCTAATTGATGAGAAAGGAAGCCAAGAGCAGTCATAGTTGGCTAAACCAGCACTGCCACGATTTGTTGTTGCCTTAAAGCTTTGGGCTTCCCCTTTGCTGAGTTTTTCAGCCAGTAGAGTCTCAGTTCTGCCCACCCCAGCCCATCTACGTGATGGGCCTCCCAATTGAAAGCTCGAGTGTCTGTGCATTCAGACAGCTATTCAGGACTTTAGGGGGCTCGAGAAACAAAGGAAGGCCTGACTGCATGCCACTGCCTCTCCTGACACACGTCCCTGGGACAGTGCATGCAAACACCAGGGTATGGTTTGTAGTGTCTAATCTGGCCCTTCTCTCTTTCCAGGTTGATGCCACTCACCCTGGGAGCCCAGAACTCGTCACCTTTCATGGTACACACTCTCTTCTTTACCGTATGTTTCTCTGGGACATTTCCTGACACTTGTACCTCTGAAGAAGATGGTTTTCATTTGCCCCATGCTGGGTGCAGACTAGGTGGTTGGGAAGGTCTGACTGTGTGTGGCGGGACAGATGGCAGCTGAGCAAGGCTGTGGGCTGGCACCCCTGTCTGGTTTTTCATACATCTGTCTATCCTGCACAACTTGGCTGGAACTCCTAGCTAGCAGGGAGCACTCCCCTTGATCACTCATTTGTTAATTTGTTCATGAAACATTCACTGATGCCTACTGAGCAAGGCTGTGGGCTGGCACCCCTGTCTGGTTTTTCATACATCTGTCTATCCTGCACAGCTTGGCTGGAACTCCTAGCTAGCAGGGAGCACTCCCCTTGATCACTCATTTGTTAATTTGTTCATGAAACATTCACTGATGCCTACACCTCACTTGGTATGATCCCATGCACTGAGCTAACACAAATGAATCCTGTGCTGTTCCTGCCTCCTAGGCCCTTAGACTCTGCCAGGTGAAACTAACCATTACAAAATAATTATAGTGCAGTATGCCAAGAGCTAAGACAGGGAAGGGCCATGGGAGCTCAGGCAACCCTTGCCTTAAAGTATTCATAGACCAAAGGCATGGGCATCTCCTGGGAGCTGGTTAGAAATGCAGAACCTCGGCACCATGCCAGACCTGCTGAATCAGAACCTATATTTTAGCCTCCTCCCAGGGGAGGTGTGTGCATAGTCCAGGGTGAGAAGCGCTGGCTCGGAGTGTTGGATTAGTAAACAGCATGTTCATGGCTACATCAGAGAGGGACAGGCCAGGAGACAGAGGCCTGCAGGCAAGCATCACTCTGGTGCTCTGTGTCCCCACACACCCTGTCATGCTGTGTGTCCCCCTTTTGATTGAGGAGTCTGAACACTTGGGGCTTAACCAGGAGAAGGTCTTTTTCCCCAAGTACTCATCTCCAGCTTGGCTCTTGTCACCCCAAAACAAGAGGATGTTCTCCCTGATGAAACAGGACCAGAGGATGAAATGACCAGGAATGCTCTCCCTGGTGAAATAGGGACCCATGGATTTTCTGTCACTTCTGGTTACCAAGTCCAGGCTGTTTTCAGACTCCATGCTCAGATCCAATTCAAGGCTCCCCTTTCCCTTCAGGCAAGGCAGGCTTTGGGGAGGAGAGGGTGGAGCTGGATTTGCTTTCTCAGACCCCCAGTTGTTCCCCTCTCCCCGTGGGGGAGAGAACAGACCTTTCTGGATGTGATGGCCCCTGGTGAGCCGGTTGTCCTCCCTCAGGTGAGCAGCCCTGAGGTGGTGGTGAACTCGCTGTCTTCTTATCTGATCACCACTGTCTGTAGTCGGAGTGGGTGGCAGAGGCCCCACGGGCCCCACTGGTAGGGTCCTCAGTCTCAAATAGCTCAACTCTCAAATTGCCGAGGCTAGCTGTGGTTGCATCTGCCTGCTGACCCCTGGGGGCACTGTGCTTACATCCCTTCCCCCACCTTGGGGAAGCCTGACCCCCAGACCTCATCTAGGCTTTCTGCCCTATCTCTGGGATCCAGGGCCTTGGTGGGTTAATCCGTCACACTCTTGGGACCAGGAATTCCTAGTGCCCACCCCACCAATCTAGGTGGAAAAAGGGAGTCACTTCCCTTCCCAAATACTGATCTCCCAAAGGCTCCTTTCCATAGCCCCTCTACCCCCCATAGAAAGAGCTGGGGGAGAAGGTGGGGATGTCGCACCAGAAATGGTGCTGCTTGCTAGTCCTTCAGGAGGTGTGCTGTGGTCCAGTTGGATCCTCCCAGCTTTGTAAGTGGAATACTTAGCAGCCTTAGTTGTCCTGTGCGGCCACCCCTGGGGTTTCCTCTCCTTCCACCAGCATGCCGCACAGGCTTAGACAAGATGAGACCAGAAGACTGACCTGGGGTTGAGCCCCGGTCCACATTCATGAAACTGTCCCAGTGACAGCTCCCTGCAGCCTCTGCTGGGCTCCCATGGGACACTGATGACATCTCGATGGTAGCACTTGTTCCCTCTTACTTCACAGTGTTGTGAGCTGGGCCCATCTCCCCCACGAGCTGAGCTGTTCAAGGTCGGGAACTGTGTCTGACGCCTCTCCTTCTGCTCCTCTCTCCATTCAGCAAAGCGTTTCGTGCCCGCCGCTTTCTCAACAGGCCTTTGTTTGTTTGAGTGGACATTGCTAAAGTGGCACAGTTTGAGAACTTGTCTCAGAAAGATTTTATATAGAACAAAAGTGATTTTCCACTATCTTTATTTTTTTTAATGTGTTTGTGTTTGGTGGCAGGTGTTAAAGGAGAGAAAGGATCCTGGGGTCTTCCTGGCTCAAAAGGAGAAAAAGGTGACCAAGGAGCCCAGGGACCACCAGGTATTCCTGCTCTTGTTTAGATCTTGCCTTTGATTTCTGTTTCTGAGAAATGCAGCTAAGCCAGAGAGTAAGACTAACTACATTACCACCCTGACCACAGGCTCCGCTGAGTTTTACTGAGACCCCTTCATGGGTGTGGCATGTCTAAGACAGAGCAATGTCCAGATAGACCAGAAGTTCCAATCATTTGTGTTTCATATGCAAAATGAGGCCCAAGGAGGGCCAGGGGCTTGCCTAGGACTCCCCAGTGCTGGGTTGCTGGGCCTGACTGGGGCCTGTTGCTGCCTCCAAGCCCACTCTATTGTCTAAACCAATGCAGGGTCACTTTTATTAGGACATAACCATGGCTGCAAACTTGGAGACTTTTATTTTGAAATTTCTGAACTATGATTGTGAATTTTATAAGCATTTTTTTTTTCAGGTCCTCCAGTTGATCCAACTTATCTGAGACATTTTCTGAACAGCCTAAAGGTGAGTATTTCTCTACTAAACATTTGGCCTGTGTTCCCAATTTCTTGGGTTTATGTTGGAGACCAAGTTCATCCCAGTCTTACTGAAATACTCCCATGTTCTCTGCTTCTAGCAAGAGAATGGACACAGGGGGTTTCAAGGAGAAAAAGGCGACACTAACAGCAACTTCTTTGTGTCTGGGCCTCCAGGCCCCCCAGGAAATCCAGGCTTGGCTGTGAGTAGTGACTATCCAAATCATCTTCCCCAAGGACTTACAGCTTTCCCTGGACCCTCAGTATGCCTAGACAGCTGGAGAGTCATGAACCACAAGCTGGAGGCAGGATTGGGGATCAGCCCACTCTCTCTTCATTCTTGTTGATTGACAGGGAGGTTGGCTGGGTCCATGGAGGGAAGGGATCCAAGACTAATGCAGTTAGGCCACTTCCAGGCCACTGACCACACTGCCTTATTCATGTAAATGGTGAAAAATTCACTCAATGCAGAGTTATTAATGGTGAACACATCAGATGTTGTAGGCAGAATGGAAGGTGAAGGAGATATTTTTAGAGGAGTTATTCAATTCTTCTAAAATTTTAACAAAGAAAGAGTTCCTAGATAGCCTTGTTCTTCCTAGGATGAGAGGTATTTCCAGTGCACAAGAGAGAAAATCAAAGTCTGCTCCTAAGGAGAGCGTGACCAGGTTATTGACCTTTGGTCCCAGAGCTCACCATAAAGGTAGAACCAGCAAAGCCAGGAGGCCAGCATTCTATTTCTAGCTCAGCCTCTAATTTGCTTTGTGATTTTTGGGCAAGTCCTCTCCCTCTCTAGGCCTGTTTCTTTGCCTGTGAAATGCAAAGATGAGGTGAGATGATCCCCAAGAGCCCTTGAGGCCTTCTACCACCTTGAACTGTGCCAGGATTGAGGATAATGATAGCAATAGCTGGTGTTTATTGACTTCTTACAAATGTCCTCATAAAAGGAATAAGTAACCAATAATCTTTCTCTCCTCTGTTACTGTGCACTTGCCTTGACAGGGCCACAAAGGAGAGACTGTCATTGGGCCCCAAGGACCCCCAGGTGCCCCTGGCCTGCCTGGGCCACCTGGCTTTGGAAGACCTGGTGTCCCTGGGCCTCCAGGACCCCCGGGGCCACCAGGACCTCCAGCTATCCTGGGAGCAGGTTAGTACTGTGAGCAGTGCCCTCATTCACGCTGCCCCTACCGTTGTGCTCAGGGTGACCACATCTGGGTGGCATGTCATAGCCACACTGTCTAACAGAGGGCTGGTGCCTAGGTAGAGCCTTCTTTCTTTTCTTTTTTTAAAATTGAGATATAATTCACACATCATAAAATTCACCCATTTAAAGTGTACGACTTGGTGGTTTTTAATATATTCACAAGGTCATGCAGCCATCACCACTGTCTAATTCCAGAACATTTTCATTACACCAAAAATAAATTTTGTACCAACTAGCAGTCACTCTCTTTTCTCCCCTGCCCCAGATCTTGGCAATCTCTAATCTGCTTTCTGTCTCTGGGTTTGCCTATTCTTTACATTACATATAAATGGAATCATGCAATATACGGCCCTTTGTTTATGGCTCCTTTCACTTAGCATACTGTTTTCAAGGTTCATCCAGGTTGTAGCATGTACCAGTGCTTCATTCTTTTTTAAGGCCAAATAATATTCCATTGTGTGGATATACATTTTTTTTTATTCATTCATCTGTTTATGGGCATTTGAGTTGTTTCTGCTTTGGGGCTAATATGAATAATGCTGCTATGAACATTTGTGTACAAGTTTTTATGTGAACATATATTTTCAGTTCTCTTGGGCATATCTAGGAGCGAAATTGCTGGGTCCTATGGTAACTCTATGTTTAACTTTTTAAGGAGCTGCCAAACTGTTTTCCAAAGCAGCCACAACACTTGGCATTTCTTCCAACAATGTACAAGGGCTCTAATTTCTCCTCATCTTCACCAACAGTTACTATATCTTTATTACATCTTTTTGATTATAACCACACTCATGGGTGTGAAGTGATATCTCATTGTAGTCTTGGTTTGCATTTCCCTAATGACTAAGGATGTTGAGCATCTTTTCAGATGTAAGTGAAAACTTCTTAGCTGTCTCATCAATGCCTTCGAGACTTGAGAACCTGGCTTAAGGACCAGCACTGATTACAACTCTCTCTGTAAAAATCTAGTGAAGAGTCTCAGTTCCTCAAATGAAAATGGGTGAAATTAAAGAAAATCTCCATTTATCGAGCATTTACCAAGTACCACATATTTTGCTAATCACTTTACTACAGTACTTCATAGAATTCTCACAACAGCACTTCAGGGAAAATATTAGCATCCCCATTTTACAGGTGAAGAAAGTGAAACCCAGAGACATTTAGGAACCTTTCCAAGACCACACAGGTGATAAGTGGAACTAACAGGATTAGGACCCAGATCAGCGTAGCTCCAAGCCTGTGTTATTTTAGCTATGCCCATGGTGGAAAATAATCATAGTAGCCATAATAGCATGAATCCATTTTTTTTGTTGTTTGGGTTGGCATGAGCCAGGTGTGACGGAAGCATGCCTGGGAAGAGACCGACAGAGTATGGGGCATCAGGGAGAGCTTTATGCACAGGTGACTTTGGGGTTGGGACTTTCACTTAGGCTCGGATCATTTGGCTGCAAGTGACAGAAACATAACTCAAACTAGCTCAAGCAAAAGGGAGATATATTGGACATGAAGGGGGGAGTGAATAATCAATTTGTGGGGGGTGGACATGCAGCCAGACCTCAGGAACAGCCAGAACCAAGGTCCCAGCCTCTGCAAGGTTCTCTGGCCATCTCATGTCTCAGCTTCTCTCTGTACAGCAGCTTCATGCTTTCTCACCACAGACCACATCCTCTGCACAGTGGGAAATATGGCTACCGCAGCTTCCACTGTCAGCTAGAAGTCTTGGCCTTCTTTCTCAGTTTTGGTTTGAAAAGTCCTGGGGTGGGGCAAGCCCCTGGGAAGGATTCTGATTGGCCTGTCTTAGGTCAGGTGCCCAACCTTGGACCAATCACCTGTGGCCAGGAGATAGGGTCACATGAGAACATGTTAGCTCTTTCTGGAACCAAATGGTTGTAGAGGTGAAAAAAGAAGGTGCTGGGTAGATGAAAACAGAGGCGCCCATGTAGCCCTGAGGGATGAGCAGGAGTTGCAGGAGGTGAAGGCATGGTACAGGGGGAGGCAGGATGCAGAGAATCTGTTGTCCAGAGCTGCACTACACTAGCAGCCCAGGACACCTTGCTGCATTGAACATGAATCGTCCTTCACATGAGGTACAGCAATTCGCAGTTTACGAAACGCTTCCATAGCCATACTCCCAGGTCATCTTTCTAGCTACTCTGGGAGGGAGATGAAATGGATATTGTTATAAATCTCATTTCACGAAGGAAGACACTGAAGCTCAGAGAGGCTAAGAGACTTGCTCAAGGTCACAAATACTAGTAAGAAGCATGGCTGGGGTCCAAGTGCAAGTCCTCTGACTCTGTCCCCGAGGCATTCACCACCTACGTGTGGACGTTCAAGTCCTGTGGTGGAACTGAAGACTTGTTTGCAGTGACCTGAAAAATCGTACAAAGGAATTTTACTGGGACTTGTAAAAATATCCCAAACTCTGCTAAAAGCTTGGCAGATTTGGGGGGTCACAAGGGTTAGAGAGGTAGATGAAGAGCAATGGAATGGCTGTAGTAATACTTCCTTATGTTTGTCTAAAGGAAGGGCTTTTCGATTAAGGAATTATGGACTTCTAGGGAGTTCAAGGATGTGCCTCAGTGATCTTCATCACAGTAACTTTTTTTTTTTTTTTTTTGTAGAATTTTGTGCACATTTTTCTGGGGAAGAGGGCAATAGCCTTGATCTGATTTTTAAGGGTACTGTGACTCCTCAGAAGCAAAGAACCCTGGTCGAATGCTATGCAATTTAGAAAGCACATTCCTAGTTTGCATTTCACTCAGTTCTCACCACAGCCCAGTGAAGAAGAAATGCCTGTGTACATGTCATAGGACGTGGGTTTAGAGAGCTTGCTGTTTCCCTAGATCACATGCTGGGAATTGACAATCTGGGGACTTGAGTCCCTGACTCCTGGCCCCAAAGCCAGGGATCCTGTTACTGCATAGCTCTGGCCTCCTTCCTCAGCCCAGCACCTTCTCTTCCTCTTTCTGAGCCACTTCCTCTGTTCAGTGGTCACACGCTTGTCTCTCGGGTGAAGTAAATTGTATGAGTCAAGATATTTTTGGATGCAAGAGACAAAAAAATTTAACTTAAACTGGCTTTTACAAACAACAAAAGTGAATCAATTCACTTATGAAACAGAAATGTCCTAGGCATGGCTTGGTCCAGGGTGACAATCAAAAATCCCGGCTCTTCCTAGCACCAGTCAATGTGGCCTAAGTCACATGCTGAGTCCAGAGCCCCCACGCTGCTGTCACAAGCTGGGACGCTTCGTAACACTGTGAATGGGGTGGTGAACACTTCTCTTGGGTGATCAGCTGACACCTGAGACGTTTGGCAGAGAGAATATTTTTAGTAACTTCTCTTTTCTGCTTTCTCTTAGCTGTGGCCCTTCCAGGCCCACCTGGCCCTCCAGGACAGCCAGGGCTTCCGGGATCCAGAAACTTGGTCAGTAACATTATCAATGTGTAGACATCATTCTACTTTGGATGGTTTTATTTAAAAGTCTGGCTACGGTGTTTAGGGGCTGGTACCCCTTTTATTTTGGAATTAGGACTCCATGAGAATAGAATTGGTGCAATTCCAGAAATAGTAGAGGGGATTTGTTATCTATTTAGAAGACCTATTAAGTAAAAGGATACAGAAAACAAAATCATTTATTAAGTTCCACCTTTCAAGTCTTAATTGACTAAGCTATAGTAAGAAGCAATCACATTATATTAAAAAGACCATAAGCACAAGAGTGTAAACAATATCACGGCAGATCCTTGTGCTGCTCAGATTTACCCTGGGTAACAGCTTTTTCTATTCTGCCAAAGGATGTCTCCTGTACGTTCATTACTTTGTAGTTCATTGGAGCAGGGTATAGCAGACCCAGATTATTATAATGCATAGAAACATGGACAAGTATCTCACAGGGATATCAGGAGACATAGGAATGCCTTTTGTTTGTTGGTTGGTTTTTTTGTTTTTTTGGTTGCTGATCGATATGGTGATCCGAACCCATGACCTTGGTGTTATCAGCACCATGCTCTCCCAAGTGAGCTAACCAGCCAGCCCTCCTAGGAATGCTTTTTGGTCTTTGCTAGATTTTAGTCAGAAAAATCGACTGCCAAATGAAAGAACTGTCCAGCACATGATGGAATTTTGATATTTGGTTCCTTTGGGGGATTGTTAAGCCATTTTGATGCACTAAGTCATTATCTTCAAGTCTAGGTGAAAATTAATTTTGTAGTCTTTCTCAGTTAAGATGAAAAATTAAAACTCTCTTGACTGATAGTTCTTGAGATTTGGTGCTATTCAATAATTTTTTTGCATTTTCTACATCTGCTCCTAGATATGCCAAATGCTGTCTAATCTGGCAGTTTTCTAGACAGAGAAATCACAGATCACCCGTTTTCTATCATGTATCTAATATCGTAACTACCCAGCTAGACAAAAAAGATTTACGACCTGAGTATAGGTGCTCACTTGCTTGCATTTCTTATTCCAAATGAAAAGAAATTTGAAACTCTTCAAGGAGCAACATGAAATAACATCACTTATGCATGTTAGTGCCACCAAGCAGCTTAAAAAATAGAAGTGGCATAACTTACCAGCGATTTTGCTAATCAAAACCCAACAAAGACAACTCTGTTGACAGTGTTTAAATATCTTTGTAATCACAGAATATTATCTTTTTTGTTTTAGTTCATTTATTATTATTTAGATTTGCATTTCAAAGTACTACCTGTTTTCATCATAAGGAATGCCCTTTGGGTTGCTCATGAAGTCATATATCTCTATGTGGCACAGGAAGCCTTTTTATTGAACATGAGGGATGGCTCATATTTGACTTTACAAAGAGGCCAGTTTATCACATTGTGTCACTGCTCTAATGATAATGGCTGTGTGTGGAATTTAAATCATGTGACAGGTCACAGCATTCAGCAACATGAATGACATGCTGCAGAAAGCGCATTTGGTTGTTGAAGGAACATTTATCTACCTAAGGGACAGCACAGAGTTTTTCATTCGTGTCAGAGACGGTTGGAAAAAATTACAGGTAATTCCTAAACTTCCTTTACCAAACTGCCTCCAAGCACCCTCTAGAAATAATCATCTACTCCTGTAAATGCCATTTTTCTGGTTTGAGAATAGGCAGTTTCTAGTTGATGTTTCATTTTCAATGTACTGTTTTCCTTAAAGCTGGGAGAACTGATCCCCATTCCTGCCGACAGTCCTCCGCCCCCTGCGCTTTCCAGCAACGTGAGTAGTGTCCCTGCCCAGCTGCTGCCCCTTCATTTATCAGCATTTCCTGAGTCCCCCTGGGTATCCAGCACAAGCTCTCCGAACTGGACAGCCAGCTCTGCGGGTTTAGTATCTGGTGCGAGCCCAGAAGTTACCGGGTGCCAACAGAATGTTCTCACAATAGAGTGGAGGCTGGAGACCTGCTGTTCCCATGTAGTAGCTGAGTCCTCCTGGGCAACGGTCGTCCCCTCTCTTGACCTCAGTTTATTCATCTGTGAAATCATGGGTTGGCATAAGCACTCTAGAAGAGCCCTTTAATTTTTGACACGCTCTGCCTTATAAGAACATGGGCCCTACAGCAGCCCTTTGAGGCAGGGACTATCATCTCCATTTTGCAGATGATGAAACTGCGGCTTTGAAGAGGTGGCTTTCTCTATTAAGGGAATGAATTGGATGTTAACATGGGCCTTCTGCTTCCCTGGTTCAGTGTTAGTTTGAAAAGTCTTTAGAACATCCCCTCCCTTTCTAAGGATGACTTTTTAATTCGCACATAAAACTCTTCACATTTAAGAGTCACAGTTAAAGACAATGACAAACTATTTAAAATATCTTCTCAAGAAACAGTGCACTCACACCTCAGTTTACCCTGAATAACAGATTGAATGCATATTCAGAATTTTTTCTTTTTCTCTTTTATATAACAGCTACATCAACTTCAGCCTCCACTTAACCGTATTTTAAGTGCCAATTATGAGAAGCCTGCTGTAAGTACAGTTCATGCATTTACTCTGCAAAGACTGAGTGTGTGTATATTATGTGCTAGGCCCCTTGCTTAGTACACAGTTCCTGCCATCAAGATGCTTATAGACTAGTGAGAGAAGCAAACAAAAACCAGACAATTACAATACAGTGTAGTAAGTTGTTTGGTCGAGGCAGACACAACGTACTGGGGGTACAAGGAAGGTCAGAGAAGCCTGCCTGGAGGTGGTGATCTCCAAACTAAGATGTAAAGGTTGAGTTTAGGAGTGAGCCAAGTGGGAAAAAGAACATGAGAATTCCAGACAGAGGGAAGCTAAAACAGAGGGAGGCAAGGGGGCGCGTTGCACGTTCCTATAATTGCAAGTATTTCAGTCTGGCCAAGGGAATAGATTTCAAGGCAGAAAAGGGAGAAGTTTAGTCTGCAGAGGTCAGCAAGGGCAAGGCCGGTCATCAAGGGCCTGCAAGCCAAGCTAAGGACTTTGATCTTTTCCTGTGGGCAGGTAGGAGCTACTGAAGGGTTAAAGTAGGAAAACGGTATGATAAGATTGGCATTTCAGAAATTAATTTGGTTACAGTGTGCAAATGGATTGGCAGGAGCAGACTGGGCCCAAAGACCAGTTAGGTGGCTCCTGTGTTATCTGAACCAGGATCACAGCAGTGAACATGTGGAAAAGTAGGCAGATTAGAGAGACATTAAGGAGGCAGGAGTGACTAATCTGGTCATCGATTGGATACAGGGCATGAGGATGAGAGAGATCAGGCATGATGCCCAGATTTCTGTTCGGTAGTTGAGTAGTGATAGTCTTTCCAGGGATCATTTTGTTGCTGGGATTAGAAACTCTCACTTTATTCCTCTGCTAGCCTAATGATCTTGTTCAAATCATTATAGGAACATCATGGAATTCAGTCTCAGAAAGTACAACCCAGTCTGGGGACTCTTGTCCCTGCTATTAATCTGTTTTACTATCTCTGCAGACCACCTTCTGCAAGGGTCTTTCTTCCTGTCTCCCTGCACCCCCACCCTAGCACAAGTACACAGGTCGCATGAGCTTGCACACAGCTTTCCGTTGCCTTGGCGCTGATTCTGGCCCTGACTCTGTGACCTTGCAGCTGCAGAGCTCAATACTCCCTGACTCAATTCTGAGTCTTGGGAAAGAGAGTCTATATGATCTATCTTGGGTCTGGAGGTGTGGACTTGGGAGTCTTCAGCAGAGCCATGACAATTGTTACAGGGTGTATTAGTCCATTTCTATTGCTCATGGCATAATACGTGGAGCTAGGTGATTTGTAAGAAAACAAAATTTATTGCTTACAGTTTTGGAAGGTGGGAAGTCCGAAGTCTAGAGAACACATCTGGTGAGGGTCTTCTTTGGTGGTGGCTCTACAGCAATGCAAGGGGTCTCACGTGGGAGAAGATGGCAGAGCAGACAGAGAGAGAGAGCTCCTCATTCCCTCTGCTTTTAAAGCCCTCAGAGCCATGCCCCAACCACCATTATTAATCCATTCACTACAGCGTGGTCCTACAGTCTAATCGCCTCTTCAAGGCTCCACCTTTCAATTACCGTAGTAGGATCTCCAACCCTCAACAGTTAGTAGAGATTTAAGCTTCATTGAGGTTGGGGGTGGGGGGCATCTAACCTACAGCACAGGGGTGGTAGGATTCCCAAAAGAGAACATAGGAGGGAACAGGATATGAAGGTCTAAAACCCTGCAGGGAGATCAGGTCTGGACATATAGACTCGGGAGTCTTCAGCAGAGCCATGACAGTTATTACAGAGGTGGTAGGATTCCCAAAAGAGAACCTACACAGTGAGAAGGGATTGGTCCAAGAGGAGGAAAAATAAAAAGGAACTGATGGAAGAAATATGAGAAGGAAACCGAGAAGCCATAGTCAGAGAGGAAGAAAGAATGCCAAGCAAGGCTGAAGCCAACAGGGTCAAAGGCTGCCAGGAGGTCCATAAAAAGAACTCAAAGGTATCCTTTAAATTTAGAAACTAGAGCGAAGCATTGTGGCCAATACGATTCTAGTTGGTTGAGGAGTAAAGGAGAGGTGAGGGAAGAGAGAAGCGAGTTTACCTAACCCTTCAAAAAGCCCCCAAACAAACTAAAAAAAAATTAAATAGTATTCTGTAAATTCGAAGTAATACATATTGGAGAAAATTTTGACAGTGCATAAAAAGAATGGAGAAGAAAATAGTAAATCACCTATAATTTTGCCAAAACTACAACAATCTACAAAAAAGCCATTATAACATTTTGATTGTCATAATGTTACTATGCTATTATATTCATAAAAATGATACATATTCATAATAAAAATGTTCCAGCAATTAGAGGAACACAAACAGGAGCACACAAAAGGGCCCCATCCTGCATTCAGAAACAAACATAATTCCAGACATTTTTCTATGTGTGTAATGTTACTATGCTATTATATTCATAAAAATGATACATATTCATAATAAAAATGTTCCAGCAATTAGAGGAACACAAACAGGAGGACACAAAAGGGCCCCATCCTGCATTCAGAAACAAACATAATTCCAGACATTTTTCTATGTGTCTCTTTAAAGAGGGAGAGGGGAGGTGGGTGGGATGGGCGGCGTGCAGGGAAGCCTTGCACTTGCTGCTGCACCTTTCTTAGGTGGCCCCTGGTCTTGGGGAAGCCTCATTCCATCAAGGCCCCTTGTGAATGCCCTTTGATGCAGCCCCAGAAGCACACCAGGTGGAGGCTGATGAGACCATAGGGTCTCTTTCCGCAGGTACCAGAGTGGGAAGAAGATGGGGCAATATAGCAGATGGCAGGAGCATCAGAGGGACAGGCTTGGTATGTGAGGGGGTTGAGGGTGGAGGCTGATGAGACCATAGGGTCTCTTTCCGCAGGTGCCAGAGTGGGAAGAAGACGGGGCAATATAGCAGATGGCAGGAGCATCAGAGGGACAGGCTTGGTATGTGAGGGGGTTGAGGTCTAGTGGCCTGGAAGGGGTCATGGTGAGTGGGCAGCATGCTGAAGTCGCCTCCCTGTGCTGACGTCTGGGAATGGAGAGCACTGAGTGGGAGGCCTGCTGGAGAAGCCTCATCTCCCTGCGGGCAGGGTGGGCATGGTGCCGCTCAACCTGCGCCTCTCTCCAGGAGAACCAGGGAAGAATAAAAAGAGAGAGACGGAGGCCAGCGGCAGGCTTGGAGTCTTTCCTCCACAGAATGGGAAGGGAAGGGGTGGTGAGTGGAGAGAAATGGCCAGAGAAGTGCAAGCACTGCGTGGGGTGTTCTGGAAATTGCAGCACAAGGCCAGTGGTGGCCGACTGGCTATTCAAATAGCAGAACGCCAGCATGGTGACACTGCAAGTGGGGACAGATCTGAGAGGCAGCGTGGAAATGGGGAGAGAAACACTGACCTCTTCCTGCCGCAGTGTGGGGCTCATGAAATGTCTTGTGGCTTA